CCATACCTCCCAGCCAGTCAGACTGTCACTTAGTCTTTATATATATATATAGATAATAAAAGTCTAATATGCTAAGTGTCCGGTCGTCCGTTCAACCAATCAAATCATAATATGCTAATTATATGCTAAGGCTGCTGAACTGCTCACTATAATGTGCACTGACCACTAGGGGGCAGACAGTCGACCAATCAACCAGTCGCCACGACATTCACTGACCACCAGAGGGCAGACAATCCGACCAGAAGGTTAGCTTGCTGCTGGGATCCAGCTGATTGCGACTGAGCGAGATAGGCCGGACACACCCTGGAGCCCTCCTGCGGTGGCCAACCTCCCGCGTCCCTCCCGGCCTTGATAGTGCACCAGTGGGGTCCCTCGGCCTGGTCTGTGCCCTCTTGCAATCCGGGACTCCTCGGGGGATGTTGGAGAACCGGTTTCGGCCCGATCCCACAGGCCAGGCCGAGGGACCCCACTGGTACATGAATTTGTGCACTGGGCCTTTAGTATCTCAATAAAACTGGGGTGGGGGGTGTCTTACAGAGAACAACCCACCATTAAAACTGCTATCCTCTGTTTGGAAACATTCACTGATCTGTTGTCTGCCTTTTGTTTCCTGAACATACACTGACTATAAGCCAGTACTGATATCTAAAAGGCTAATATGCAAAGTGTCCCCTCAGAAGTTCAGCCGGGAGACTGGGACTTCGATCACTCGCTATGACGTAGGGTGTGGCGCAGAATGAAGGAAGGTCCCGGCTGGCAGCTAGAAGGCCTCAACGGCCCTGATCGATGGCCAGGCCTAGGGATCCTACTCCTTCTAGTATATAAAATATATATACACACATATACACATTCCTTTAACGGTCTGATCAAAGTACATGTTACTCTTCTGATCAAATTTCAAACTGAAAAGGTAAAATATTAGGTTGTAACCTTAGTTTTTAATATTGCTAAAAGGCTGCTTGCACTTCAACATAACTCATAATACTAGTATTAAGGCACTTGAATCATACTAAACTACATGTTCTAATAATCTCCTAAACTTAAAATGACCAAAAACAAATTCTCAATTACTTAGCCAAAAATGTGGCAGACATTCTTCACCTCTTTCTTTCCTTCATCCTTCACACCCTTCATGTCATCTATCTCTATACAACCCATCTATCTCCCAACACCTTAAATTTGTTTCTACAAAACCAGTGCCCTGACAACTGTCTGAAGTTCATATTACAATGGATGCTTAAACAGTCTGTTTTCATATTTCCCTCCTCTAGTCCTTTTCTCCACCAAGCTGCCAAAGTGTTCTTTATAAACCACAAACCTGACTTTAACAGATTTCCTCATAAGTCTTTACTGAGCCCTTTAACTGTGATGTAAAGTCCACACTCATTATAATGGACCAAAAGGCCTTCGTAGGTCACAAAGACTCCTGCCTACCTTTTTAATATTACTCTTTGAGGTACCTACACCTATCACATACTCCATTAATATCAAACTACTTACAATTGCTAACAAAACACACTCATTCAATCATTCAGTAAGTATCTATTGAGGATCTTCTAAATATCAACCCTATCCTAAACCTCCTTATCTTTGTAGGAATACAGCAATACATAATGCCAGCATTCATGGAGCTTACTTTAGAGGAGACACAGACAATAAAACAAACAGAAACACCAAAAGAGCAAGATTTTTGACAGTGTAATAAAACAGACAGTAAAACATTTACTTTCTCTTTTACAGAGACAGTAAAACATTATGATTGATGTCAAAAGGTGTCCTAGGGGTAAATTTAAATTAGTTGGACACATTATCAATGGATGTAACATTTGAACTGAGAACTGAATGATATAAAGCAACCAACTATTCAAAAGACTTTAAAAGAGCAGTTTTCCGAAAAGGGAAATAAGTGAAAAAGCCCTAAGGTAAAAATATACTTGGAGTGTTCCAGAAATACAAAGGTAGAATTGTGAAGTGTAATGGTCTAGAGCAGCGGTTCTCAACCTGTGGGTCGCAACCCCTTTGGGGGTCAAATGACCCTTTCACAGGGGTTGCCTAAGACCATCGGAAAACACATGATATAAGTACATATTGTTTTTCTGATTAATCACTATGCTTTAATTATATTCAATTTGTAACAATGAAATTGGGGGTCACCACAACATGAGGAACTGTATTAAAGGGTCGTGGCATTAGGAAGGTTGAAAACCACTGGTCTAGAGGTTAGATAGTACTAAGGTCAGAGAGCTAGGTGGGACTTATGTAAGACCTTGCAAGCCTGAGAGTGAAGGTGTTAGGTTTTAGTTAAAGCCATTAAAAGCTACTAACACAACTGAAAAAAGTGATATGACATAATTGTGATTTTAAAAATAATTCAGCCTTATATGTAGGAACATACTATAAAGGGGCAAGAGAGAAAAAAAGACTACAGTAGTAAAACTACAAACAATGACTCTGAACCAAAGGATTAGCAAGAGATGGATAGAAATGGCAGACTATAAACAGACACATTGTAGCCCTGGCTCATGTGGCTCAGCTGGTTGAGCTTTATCTGGTGCCCATAAGGTAAGGTTGCCGGTTCAATTCTCAGTCAGGGCACATGCCCAGATTGTGGACTCGATCCCTGGTCAGGGTGCATGCAGATGGTAGCCAATCAATGTTTCTCTCTTTCCTTTCCTCTCTCTAAAAATCAATAAAAAAAATTTAAAAAAATAAAACATATTTAAACATACACACTGTAGAGGGAGAGCCACCAAGAATTGCACCAGAATGGACTAATTCATACCTCCAAGCTTTGCATATACTGGTGCCCAATGAGGCTTCTAAATCTGTCTAGAAAACACCCAAGTATCCTTTAAAACCCAATTTAAATCTCACTTCTGCATAACATTTCCAATTTGCCCAGCCCAATTAGTTGTTAAATAACTTACATTTCCAGAGGATTCATTATATGTCTAATCTGTCAATTATCACTTTGTATTATTACTGGTCTTTCTCATTACCTGCAAAGGTACAGTAAGCAAGACCCAAGTCTCATTTCTTTGGGCAACTTCTCCAAAGACCGTATCACACTGACTCTACCAAAAAAGCCTCCATAAAGCTCAATAAATGTTTGCTTACTTATCAAAATTTCCCCAGAGTTGACATTCACAAAGCTATAAAAACTGTTAGAAACCTTGTCTTTTTTATTTTCAAAACGACTTCTCCTCAGTCAGATCAGAAGAAAAGATTTAACTCTCCAATCTAATTTTTATTATCATATCTTTGCAATATTAAAATACACCCCAAATCCTGTGGAAAAGGGAGATAAATAAAATATATAATTGGCATAATTTAATTAGTAAATACAGAGTATGAATAACTACCTTATTGAAGGTAACATAGTTTGCTGAAATGTTTGTGCAAACACTGGCAATAACCTTTTCAGGTATATGGGTGCCATTTCTGGATCTCCTTTTGGCTCATTACATTCTTCTTCATCTTTGTTTGTATCTTTCTTTTTCTTATCATCTCCTTTGTTAACTGGACACATCCAATCACCTGCAGACAAATACTGCTCAGTAAAATAATTTTTGGGAAAATTTCCCTTTCAATGAAAAAATATTAAAATGTACCCAACTCCAAACTATAATTATCCCTAATTAACAATAATTAAATTGAAATTAAGATGATGTATCTATCAAAGGTGCTTGTAAGAATACTAAAGAACATTAGCACCTCCAATGAGCTAAATCACAACTTGAGATAATTTTGAATATTCCACCTGAATTCTATAAACTATATCACATAAGCTATGTATTCATATATTCTGTGAAAACGTAAAAATTTGGTCAATGTACGTCATCTACACAATACCCAACAACTCTTTATGACACTTCCAGACTCCTTAAACTTTTGATTTGGACTCTCTGAAATCATACAGCCATAGTCTCTAAGAACACAGAACAGAACCATGTTAAAGGGTTATCAAATGTGTGTATGTATATAATTATTTGACTTCATAGAAATAATGAACCTGCCGAAACCGGTTTGGCTCAGTGGATAGAGCGTCGGCCTGCGGACTGAAAGGTCCCAGGTTCGATTCCGGTCAAGGGCATGTACCTTGGTTGCGGGCACATCCCTAGTAGGAGATGTGCAGGAGGCAGCTGATCGATGTTTCTCTCTCATCGATGTTTCTAACTCTCTATCTCTCTCCCTTCCTCTCTGTAAAAAATCAATAAAATATATTTAAAAAAAAAAGAAATAATGAACCTATATAATGTTAATGTCTACAAAAAGCTACTCCTATGGAAGTAAAGCTGAAAAGTAATAGCAAAATGGCTTACCAGGCAAGATTTTACCACTCACCTGGAGACTGAAGAATAACCACTACTTCACTATGGCCCCTTTCCCGAGCTTTATCCAATGGAGTTTTCCCATCTTCATCTCTCAGATCTGGGTTTGCACCATGTCGTAATAGAGTCTACAGGAGAAAGGTATTTAATTTGAAGATAACAACACTTTATTGCTTTACTATCCAACTCTGCAATCATTAGATTGTACCCATATACTTTAGATTACAGATTTACAGAATTACTTAATTAAGCAGATGTATCAGTTCAAATCTGTCTTTGCATATATCACCATAAAAGTTGCCTATTTATAACTTGGAAAAAAAAGTACACATTAATTTCACTTGGTTAACAACTCAAATTAAGTACGTTCACATATGAATCTGTCATCTTCTCTATCAAACTACTCCCAATTTCTGAGCTACTAGGGTTCAGTTTGTGACATGGAAATCATCTTCATCATTTCCTACATACTGTCAATTAAATCATTTCAAAAAAAAACCAAGTTAAATCAATTCTTCTAGCATGATCTACAATTTAGGTCTTAAGTACTAGTCACACTGTTCACCAATATTTTTTTAAATATATTTTTATTGCTTTCAGAGAGGAAAGGAGAGGGAGAGAGAGAGAGATAGAAACATCAATGATGAGAGTCATTGATCAGCTGCCACTTGCATACTCCATACCAGGGACCTAGCCTCAATCCAGGTATGTGCCCTTGATCAGAATCAAACCTGAAACCCTCAGTCCACAGGTCCGACACTCTATCCACTGAGTCAAACCGACTAGGGCCTGTTCACCAATTTTTAATGGACACTGGACTCTCTCCCTAGCAGACTGTACGCTCTTTGAACAGAGAACAAAACCCACATTTTTCCTATCAGCCTCACAGGTAGTCTTTTGAACTTTGTTATGATGTAATGAACAGATAAATCTGACAAATAAGTGCATACATAGTACACACATCAGGAAAGTATGCAATACTGGCTAAAAATTCCAAAGGGCTGGGGTTAGAATCATAATATATTCAGTATTTCATTAAATTTGAAGTTGCCATAGATCATTCAAAATATCATTAAGTGCTACTAAGAAAAAAAACACAATGTCAATTAAACTTTGCAACAATACTATTTTTGCTTGGAGCTTTTTTTTTTTAACTTAAAGAACTTTCTAAAACTTAGATTTTTTTTTCACATAAATTTAGAAAATTTCTGTAACTTCACATTCTGAGCACAATTCTTCATAATTAACCTTTGATTCAGTCTCCTATATTTGTGTTTCTACAGAAAATGCTGTCACTTGAGCCATAAAAGCATAGTGATACAGCATTCTAAGAGTGTTCTTCTATCAGAACAGGTTTTTCATTCAAGTTACTAAAATCCATTTCACAATTTTTGTTACATGAACAGGTAATGATAACTATGCTGCAATTTCTATGTGTCCAACAATTACAAAACATTTTCTATTTGAGATGTGAAAATGCATGTGGGGGTAGGGGAAGAATGTGGAAGTGTATCTTATAATCAATTAAAAATAGAAGAACCTATGAATATTAAAAAAGAGATGTTAAATGCTTAAGACACTGGCTGCCAAAGTTAAAGTGCCTAGTGTACTACCTATTATATCATCCTATCTAATAATAGAGAAACATGGTAATTAGCCGTACGACCGCTACCCTTCCCATTGGCTAATCAGTGAGATATGCATATTAACTGCCAACTAAGATGGCGGTTAATTTGCATATGTAGGCATAATGCTGGGAGGTGAAAGGGAAAGGACGGAAGAAGCCCCCTGCTACTGACGGTGATCCGAAACCCAGGTGGGAGCCAAGAGCCAGGGGCAGGGCAAAGGCGGCGCTGGGGGCCGCGTTTGCCCTGTCCTCCAGCCATGATCTGAGAACCGGGCACCTTTGCCACCCCCGACCAGTGATCGCGGGAAGCAGAGGTGGAGCCTGCAATGGGAGCTGGGCAGGGGCGGAGCCGGCAGTCCGGGGAGCTAGGGGTACCTTGCCCAGGCCTAAAGCCTTGGTCAAAGACGTTAGGCCTGGACAGAAGTGTAGCCTGCAATCCGGGGAGTTGGGGTCCCCTGCACAGACCTAACGCCTTGGCCAGAGGTGTTAGGCCTGGGCAGGGGCAGAACCAGCCATTGCAGGGAGCAGGGGTGGAGACAGTGATCCTGGGTAGCTGAGGGTCCCCTGCCCAGGCCTAAGGCCTTGGTCAGAGGCATTAGGTCTAGGCCGGGGCAGGGCGGGAGATCATGGGGAGCTGGGGGCCCCCTGCCCAGGCCTAATGTATTGG